TTGTACTAGTCCGGATATATTGTGGCTTTATGGTGCTGTACCACTGAGATACCATGCCACAGTTCAATACGTATGTCCACCGATACTAACTCCAAACTGACCAATCCTTGTTTTGTCTCCTTCATGGTGAATACTTTTACCATTGTTTGGTATGACATGGCTGGGGGATTGAGGATGATTATGAGTTTGCTTAGGATCATTGAACGCACCTGGTAAGCAAAGAAATGACTCGGCGCAATGTTTTAAATCTTTGTGATAATTGTATGAACAGCCTGAATCAGATCCAAGTGGTAAAACTGTGTGGCTTGATTTAAACTCTGCCTTGCTTTTGTGTTGTCTATTCTGCCTGGAATGATGCTTTCTACCACAGGTCCAAATTTGATTATATGTAGACCAACTTAACATTCACACAATCAATGTTTCCCCTTTTCCCACAGAACGTTACTGCCAAAAGGTGGAACTGCTCAAGGAGTATTTTGTGGACATCCATGCCCTCCAGACAGCCCAACAGCTCCTTGAGAAGCATGGCCATGTCAGCATCTGTGGAGCTCCTGGAGATGGGAAGACCAGCATTGCTCTGAAGATCTGTGAGGCATATCAACAAAAGAGATATGAAACAGTGTTTGTGGAAAACATTGAACGTTTTGACGTTGATACAATTTCTAAACGGCAATCACACATGCTGGTTGTTTTTGATGATATATTTGGTTCTGTCACATTCAGTTCAAATTTGGAAAAACTACATGAATTGTTCAGTGCCTTGGTTGATGATCTTGCTAAAACTGCCGCTGATAAAGAGCAGGATTCCAAGAAGAAGAAAGATAAACAATCAAAAGGTAAGGAAAAGTCCAATGACGAAACCCCCATCTACAGACTGAAGCTTGTTTTTACATCTAGGACATACATCTGGAAGGAGGGGTGTTCAAGACTACATCAGTACAAAGTGGATCTACTTAAAACAGAGGCTATGCTTGATATGACTAAAGACCATCTCACGGTTGAAGAAAAGAAACGTATGTTACGTTCCTACAAGAGCAAACATCCTAAATATGATATCTCTGAAAAGGATATTTGTAGCATCACAGATTCAAAACACAACATATTTGGATTCCCTCTTATCAGCAGACTCTTTTTCACTCATGCAGTCTTCCAGATGCACAACGTAAAATTCTTCAATAATCCTCTGACCTACCTGAGAGGTGACCTTGACGCCATTGTCCGGGAAGAGAGCAATAGATCAGCAGCCATCCTCCTCCTGGTCCTGTGTGATGGAAACTTGAACCTTGTTTCTTTGCAGTCACGGAAAGCTGGAAATGTCATGTTTGATGCTGTGAAGGACGTAGTTCCTTGTTGTACAAGCACCGGGATTGCCAAGGAGATCACAAACTTTACTGGGGTCTACTGTACAGTCGTGGATCACATCGCATCTTTCTCTCACCCCTCCATATACGATGCTGCAGCCTGTGCTGTGGGACATCTCAATATCGTGTTGCTGCTGGAACACTGCTCCCTGAAATTCCTGTATGAAAGAGTGAGGCTGGGTAAAGGTATACAGACATCAGACATTGAAGATGTCACAAACATGATCTACATCACCCCCCAACTACACCAAACAGTAGTGGACAGACTGGTGGAAGGTATTCGACAAGAATGCTTCATTTGGACAGTGAAACATCCAGTTCTCCGTGATGAGAGGATTGCCTCCCTACTATGGACAGGGATTAATGATAACATTGTTGATATTGTCGAACAAAAGGATAGGGACTCAGGTGAATCCTTTTTGTATTTAGCTTCCCTATCTGAGAGCTACTTTCTATTCTCAAAGTCATTAGAAGTTGTTGTAAGACAGGGTGACACATCAACTAATCTATATGACTGTGTGGTAGCCTGTGTTACTCATGGCAAACTGAAACACTTGGAACACCTCGTTACAGTCATGAGTCTACATGGAGGATTCAATGTTGAATTTTCCATAGACGGGAAAACCCTTCTGATCATGGCTGCCAAGTCAGGACAGTCAGAAGTGTTCAACTTCCTCATCCAGAAGGGTGCTGATATTTCAGTGACGGACTGGACAGGAAGCACCTGTTTACATTATGCCTGTGAATCAGGAAGCATGGCGTTGACCAGAAAGGTGGTTGAAATGCATCCTGTTATACTTAATTCCATGAGTTTTGTAGGTTTAACACCTGCAATGCTTTGTGCCAAAGCAGGTCACCTTTTGATCCTAAAGTTCCTTAAACAAAAAGGAGCCGATTTAACTCTTACCAACTATAACTTGGTAGATTGTTTGCACTTGGCGAGTGAAAATGGCAATCTGTCAACTGTGAGGTTTTTGATTTCTCTGAAAATGTTTAATGTGAACAAGAAGGAAACATATTTAATCCCAACATCAGCTATGAAGGCAGCAGAAGGAGGACACTATGATGTTTATCATCTCCTTGTATCTGAGGGTGCAGATCTGACCCTTACTGATGAATACAACAGAGACTGTCTGATGTTGGCATGTGTGGGAGGAAACCTATCTATAGTGAAACATGTCTTGTCAATGAAAACATGTGACATCAACAGGCGGGGAGGAAGGTTGAAACAAACACCAATTATGATGGCATTGGAAGGAGGACACTATAATGTTTATCATCTCCTTGTATCTGAGGGTGCAGATCTCACTGTTACTGATCAATACAACAGAGACTGTCTGATGTTGGCATGTGAGAGAGGAAACCTATCTATAGTGAAACATGTCTTGTCAATGAAAACATGTGACATCAACAGGCGGGGAGGAGAGTTGAAACAAACACCAATTATAACGGCATTGAAAGGAGGACACTATGATGTTTATCATCTCCTTGTGTCTGAGGGTGCAGATCTGACCCTTACTGATGATAACAACAGTGACTGTCTGATATTGGCATGTGAGGGAGGAAACCTATCTATAGTGAAACATGTCTTGTCAATGAAAACATGCGACATCAACAGGCGGGGAGGATATTTGAAACAAACACCAATTATGGTGGCATTGGAAGGAGGACACTGTGATGTTTATCATCTCCTTGTGTCTGAGGGTGCAGATCTCACTGTTACTGATAAATACAACACAGACTGTCTGATGTTGGCATGTGTGGGAGGAAACCTATCTATAGTGAAACATGTCTTGTCAATGAAAACATGGGACATCAACAGGCAGGGAAGATATTTGAAACAAACACCAGTTATGATGGCATTGGAAGGAGAACACTATGATGTTTATCATCTCCTTGTGTCTGAGGGTGCAGATCTGACCCTTACTGATGAATGCAACAGAGACTGTCTGATGTTGGCATGTGAGGGAGGAAACCTATCTATAGTGAAACATGTCTTGTCAATGAAAACATGCGACATCAGCAGGTGGGGAGGAGAGTGGAATCAAACACCAGTTATGATGGCATTGGAAAGAGGACACTATGATGTTTATCATCTCCTTGTGTCTGAGGGTGCAGATCTGACCCTTACTGATGATAACAACACAGACTGTCTGATGTTTGCTTGTGTGGGAGGAAACCTATCTATAGTGAAACATGTCTTGTCAATGAAAATATGCGACATCAACGGGCGGGGAGGAGAGTTGAAACAAACACCAGTTATGATGGCATTGGGAAGAAGACACTATGATGTTTATCATCTCCTTGTGTCTGAGGGTGCAGATCTGTCCCTTACTGATACATACAACAGAGACTGTCTGATGTTGGCAAGTGAGCAAGGGACCATATCTATAGTGAAACATGTCTTGTCAATGAAAACATGCGACATCAACGGGCAGGGAGGAAATTTGAAACAAACACCAGTTATGACGGCATTGAAAGGAAGACACTATGATGTTTATCATCTCCTTGTGTCTGAGGGTGCAGATCTGACCCTTACTGATGATGTCAACACAGACTGTCTGATGTTGGCATGTGAGGGAGGAAACCTATCTATAGTGAAACATGTCTTGTCAATGAAAACATGCGACATCAACAGGTGGGGAGGAGAGTTGAAACAAACACCAGTTATGATGGCATTGAAAGGAGGACACTATGATGTTTATCATCTCCTTGTGTCTGAGGGTGCAGATCTGACTGTTACTGATGATAACAACACAGACTGTCTGATATTGGCATGTGTGGGAGGAAACATATCTATAGTGAAACATGTTTTGTCATTGAAAACATGGGACATCAACAGGCGGGGAGGAGGATTGAAACAAACACCAATTATGATGGCATTGAAATTTGGACACTATGATGTTTATCATCTCCTTGTGTCTGAGGGTGCAGATCTCACTGTTATTGATAAATACAACAGAGACTGTCTAATGTTGGCATGTGTGGGAGGAAACATATCTATAGTGAAACATGTTTTGTCATTGAAAACATGTGACATCAACAGGTGGGGAGGATATTTGAAACAAACACCAGTTATGACGGCATTGGAAGGAAGACACTATGATGTTTATCATCTCCTTGTGTCTGAGGGTGCAGATCTGACTGTTACTGATGATAACAACACAGACTGTCTGATATTGGCATGTGAGAGAGGAAACCTATCTATAGTGAAACATGTCTTGTCAATGAAAACATGCGACATCAACAGGCGGGGAGGATATTTGAAACAAACACCAGTTATGATGGCATTGGAAAGAGGACACTATGATGTTTATCATCTCCTTGTGTCTGAGGGTGCAGATCTGACTGTTACTGATGATAACAACACAGACTGTCTGATATTGGCATGTGAGAGAGGAAACGTATCTATAGTGAAACATGTCTTGTCTATGAAAACATGTGACATCAACAGGCGGGGAGGAGAGTTGAAACAAACACCAGTTATGATGGCATTGGAAGAAGGACACTATGATGTTTATCATCTCCTTGTGTCTGAGGGTGCAGATATGACACTTACTGATGACGAGAACAGAGACTGTCTGATGTTGGCATGTGAGAGAGGAAACCTATCTATAGTGAAACATGTCTTGTCTATGAAAACATGTGACATCAACAGGCCGGCAGGACAGTTGAAACAAACACCAGTTTTGATGGCATTGGAAGAAGGACACTATGATGTTTATCATCTCCTTGTGTCTGAGGGTGCAGATATGACACTTACTGATGACGAGAACAGAGACTGTCTGATGTTGGCATGTGAGAGAGGAAACCTATCTATAGTGAAACATGTCTTGTCATTGAAAACATGCGACATCAACAGGCGGGGAGGAAAGTTGAAACAGACACCAGTTATGACGGCATTGGATGGAGGACACTATGATGTTTATCATCTCCTTGTGTCTGAGGGTGCAGATCTGACCCTTACTGATGATGACAACACAGACTGTCTGATGTTGGCATGTGAGGGAGGAAACGTATATATAGTGAAACATGTCTTGTCATTGAAATCATGCGACATCAACAGGCGGGGAGGATATTCGAAACAAACACCAGTTTTGACGGCATTGGAAGAAGGAAACTATGATGTTTATCATCTCCTTGTGTCTGAGGGTGCAGATCTCACTGTTACTGATCAATACAACAGAGACTGTCTGATGTTGGCATGTGAGAGAGGAAACCTATCTATAGTGAAACACGTTTTGTCATTGAAAACATGCGACATCAACAGGCGGGGAGGATATTTGAAACAAACACCAGTTATGAGGGCATTGGAAAGAGGACACTATGATGTTTATCATCTCCTTGTGTCTGAGGGTGCAGATCTGACCCTTACTGATCAATACAACAGAGACTGTCTGATATTGGCATGTGTGGGAGGAAACCTATCTATATTGAAACATGTCTTGTCAATGAAAACATGTGACATCAACAGGCGGGGAGGAAAGTTGAAACAAACACCAGTTATGATGGCATTGGAAAGAGGACACTATGATGTTTATCATCTCCTTGTGTCTGAGGGTGCAGATCTGACCCTTAGTGATCAATACAACAGAGACTGTCTGATGTTGGCATGTGTGGGAGGAAACCTATCTATAGTGAAACATGTCTTGTCATTGAAAACATGCGACATCAACAGGCGGGGAGGAAAGTTGAAACAATCACCAGTTTTGAGGGCATTGGATGGAGGACACTATGATGTTTATCATCTCCTTGTGTCTGAGGGTGCAGATCTGACTGTTACTGATGATGACAACACAGACTGTCTGATGATGGCATGTGAGAGAGGAAACCTATCTATACTGAAACATGTCTTGTCATTGAAAACATGCGACATCAACGGTCGGGGAGGAAAGTTGAAACAAACACCAGTTTTGAGGGCATTGGATGGAGGACACTATGATGTTTATCATCTCCTTGTGTCTGAGGGTGCAGATCTCACTGTTACTGATAAATACAACAGAGACTGTTTGATGTTGGCATGTGAGGGAGGAAACATAAATATAGTGAAACATGTTTTGTCATTGAAAACATGGGACATCAACGGGCGGGGAGGGGTGTTGAAACAAACACCGGTTTTGACGGCATTGAAAGGAGGACACTATGATGTTTATCATCTCCTTGTGTCTGTGGGTGCAGATCTGACCTTTACTGATGATAACAACAGAGACTGTCTGAGGTTGGCATGTGACAGAGGAAACATATCTATAGTGAAACATGTCTTGTCATTGAAAACATGCGACATCAACGGGCGGGGAGGAAAGTTGAAACAAACACCAGTTATGATGGCATTGGAAGGAGGACACTATGATGTTTATCATCTCCTTGTGTCTGAGGGTGCAGATCTGACCCTTACTGATCACTGCAATAGAGACTGTCTGATGTTGGCATGTTTTGGAGGAAACATAAATATAGTGAAACATGTCTTGTCATTGAAAACATGCGACATCAACAGGCGGGGAGGATATTTGAAACAAACACCAGTTATGATGGCATTGGAAGGAGGACACTATGATGTTTATCATCTCCTTGTGTCTGAGGGTGCAGATCTCACTGTTACTGATAAACACAACAGCGACTGTCTGATGTTGGCATGTGAGAGAGGAAACCTATCTATAGTGAAACATGTTTTGTCATTGAAAGCATGCGACATGAACAGGCGGGGAGGATATTTGAAACAAACACCAGTAATGATGGCATTGGAAGGAGGACACTTTGATGTTTATCATCTCCTTGTGTCTCAGGGTGCAGATCTAACCCTTACTGATCAATACAACAGAGACTGTCTGATGTTGGCATGTGAGAGAGGAAACGTATCTTTAGTGAAACATGTCTTGTCTATGAAAACATGCGACATCAACAGGCGGGGAGGATATTTGAAACAAACACCAGTTATGATGGCATTGGAAGAAAGACACTATGATGTTTACCATCTCCTTGTGTCTGAGGGTGCAGATCTGACCCTGACTGATGATAACAACACAGACTGTCTGATGTTGGCATGTGAGAGAGGAAACCTATCTATGGTGAAACATGCCTTGTCATTGAAAACATGCGACATCAACAGGCGGGGAGGATATTTGAAACAAACACCAGTTATAACGGCATTGAAAGGAGGACACTATGATGTTTATCATCTCCTTGTGTCTGAGGGTGCAGATCTGACCCTTACTGATGATAACAACACAGACTGTCTGATGTTGGCATGTGAGAGAAGAAACATATCTATAGTGAAACATGTCTTGTCATTAAAAACATGCGACATCAACAGGCGGGGAGGATATTTGAAACAAACACCAGTTATGACGGCATTGGAAGGAGAACACTATAATGTTTATCATCTCCTTGTGTCTGAGGGTGCAGATTTGACTGTTACTGATGATGACAACACAGACTGTCTGATGCAGGCATGTAAGAGAGGAAACCTATCTATAGTGAAACATGTCTTGTCAATGAAAACATGTGATATCAACGGGCCGGGAGGAAAGTTGAAACAAACACCAATTATGACGGCATTGGATGGAGGACACTATGATGTTTATCATCTCCTTGAGTCTGAGGGTGCAGATCTGACCCTTACTGATATATACAACAGAGACTGTCTGATGTTGGCATGTGAGGGAGGAAACATAAATATAGTGAAACATGTCTTGTCAATGAAAACATGTGACATCAACAGGCAGGGAGGAAAGTTTAAACAAACACCAGTTATGATGGCATTGGAAGGAGGACACTATGATGTTTATCATCTCCTTGTGTCTGAGGGTGCAGATCTGTCCCTTACTGATAAATACAACAGAGACTGTCTGATGTTCGCATGTGTTGGAGGAAACCTATCTATAGTGAAACATGTCTTGTCAATTAAAACATGCCACATCAACAGGCGGGGAGGATATTTGAAACAAACACCAGTTATGATGGCATTGAAAGGAGGACACTATGATGTTTATCATCTCCTTGTGTCTGAGGGTGCAGATCTGACCCTTTCTGATGATAACAACACAGACTGTCTGAGGTTGGCATGTGAGAGAGGAAACCTATCTATACTGAAACATGTCTTGTCATTGAAAATGTGCGACATAAACAGGCGGGGAGGTAAGTTGAAACAAACACCAGTTATGACGGCATTGGAAGAAGGACACTATGATGTTTATCATCTCCTTGTGTCTGAGGGTGCAGATCTGACTGTTACTGATAAATACAACAGAGACTGTCTGATGTTGGCATATGAGAGAGGAAACCTATCTATACTGAAACATGTCTTGTCATTGAAAACGTGCGACATAAACAGGCGGGGAGGTAAGTTGAAACAAACACCAGTTATGACAGCATTGGAAGAAGGACACTATGATGTTTATCATCTCCTTGTGTCTGAGGGTGCAGATCTGACTGTTACTGATAAATACAACAGAGACTGTCTGATGTTGGCATGTGAGGGAGGAAACATAAATATAGTGAAACATGTTTTGTCAATTAAAACATGGGACATCAACAGGCGGGGAGGAAAGTTGAAACAAACACCAGTTATGACGGCATTGGATGGAGGACACTATGATGTTTATCATCTCCTTGTGTCTGAGGGTGCAGATCTGACCCTTACTGATCAATTCAACAGAGACTGTCTGATGTTGGCATGTGAGAGAGGAAACCTATCTATAGTGAAACATGTCTTGTCAATTAAAACATGGGACATCAACAGGCGGGGAGGAAAGTTGAAACAAACACCAGTTATGATGGCATTGAAAGGAGGACACTATGATGTTTATCATCTCCTTGTGTCTGAGGGTGCAGATCTGACCCTTACTGATGAATACAACAGAGACTGTCTGATGTTGGCATGTGTTGGAGGAAACCTATCTATAGTGAAACATGTCTTGTCAATTAAAACATGGGACATCAACAGGCGGGGAGGATATTTGAAACAAACATCAGTTTTGACGTCATTGGAAGAAGGACACTATGATGTTTATCATCTCCTTGTGTCTGAGGGTGCAGATCTGACCCTTACTGATACATACAACAGAGACTGTCTGATGTTGGCATGTGAGGGAGGAAACGTATCTTTAGTGAAACATGTCTTGTCTATGAAATCATGCGACATCAACAGGCCGGCAGGACAGTTGAAACAAACACCAGTTATAACGGCATTGGAAGGAGGACACTATGATGTTTATCATCTCCTTGTGTCTGAGGGTGCAGATCTGACTGTTACTGATGATAACAACACAGACTGTCTGAGGTTGGCATGTGAGAGAGGAAACCTATCTATACTTAAACATGTCTTGTCATTGAAATCATGCGACATCAACAGGCGGGGAGGATATTTGAAACAAACACCAGTTATAACGGCATTGAAAGGAGGACACTATGATGTTTATCATCTCCTTGTGTCTGAGGGTGCAGATCTGACCCTTACTGATGACGACAACACAGACTGTCTGATGTTGGCATGTGAGAGAGGAAACCTATCTATAGTGAAACATGTCTTGTCAATGAAAACATGCGACATCAACGGGCCGGGAGGAAAGTTGAAACAAACACCAGTTATGACGGCATTGGAAAGAAGACACTATGATGTTTATAATCTCCTTGTGTCTGAGGGTGCAGATCTCACTGTTACTGATAAATACAACAGAGACTGTCTGATGTTGGCATGTGAGGGAGGAAACATATCTATAGTGAAACATGTCTTGTCAATGAAAACATGCGACATCAACAGGCGGGGAGGAAAGTTGAAACAAACACCAATTTTGACGGCATTGGAAGAAGGACACTATGATGTTTATCATCTCCTTGTGTCTGAGGGTGCAGATCTCACTGTTACTGATGATGACAACAGAGACTGTCTGATGTTGGCATGTAAGAGAGGAAACCTATCTATAGTGAAACATGTCTTGTCAATGAAAACATGCGACATCAACAGGCGGGGAGGATATTTGAAACAAACACCAGTTATGATGGCATTGGAAGGAGAACTCTATGATATTTATCATCTCCTTGTATCTGAGGGTGCAGATATGACACTTACCGAAGACGAAAACACAGACTAGAATATTGTTACCTGTATTTTTGTAACTTGACACCAAACTCACGAGGGCTGCTTACATCTGGCACCTTCCTCAACCAGTGTCTGAGCAAGGTCTCTTCATGTGAGTGGAGGAAAAGGCAGGACAACGGAATGATGTTCCTGGTTGATTTAGCGTTGAGAATTCACACTGGCATCACCACAGATTCCTTGCCACACCATGTTGATCGACCTCCAGATCACAACAAACATGCCTGCCATTTCCCTCATCGGTGGTGTACTCTGATAATCTAAGGTTGTTGCAGCCGATGACGTCACCACCAAAAAATATTTCCTGAGGTGCAAAACCCGAAGGTAGCAGTTGTCGTTTGGCCTGGTCAAGGGTAATCTGCTGCGTCTAGGTCTCTCCCTCGTACTGCCTCTTTGGTTGGTCAGGCTCGCTGGCTTGGTTTGATGCATGTCATCGTATCCCAATTGCGTGGATTGATGGTCATGATGTAAATCACTGGATTGTCTGGTCGAGACTCGATAATTTACAGACCGCTGTCATATAGCTGGAATCCTGGAGTGCAGCGTAAAACAACAAACGCACACTCACATGTTGGTTGAAGCATAATATAAGTACACTAGCATTGTAGTGGTGTATACAGCAGTAAGGTGTTGTAGTGGTATATATTGCATTCCAACTATATCATAAGCATGTGTTTATGAATTACTATAAGGTAATGCTATTTTTCAGGGCATTAAATTGCCCTCGGTCTTTTCAATTGCCCTCCTTTGTCGGGCAGTTAATGGAAGACCTCGGGCTTCTGCAAATGATAATGCCCTGAAAAATAGTGTTACCGTTATTATAGCTTAAATGGATGGAATTTGTTATCAAATAAAAAGAAACAACAATATCGGTTTTTAAACATTTACTGCATTCAATACGAATGTCACTGACCCACTTTTACAAATATGGAAACGTCATAGAACAAACCAGATGATGTCACTATTGAACGTGGCGTCACCTATCCCTATCCTATGATGTCACCTAACAACGGGCGTGATAATGGCCCGTCGCCAAGCAATATGAGGGCATTATCAAGTTACAGTGGCCCACTCATTTCTGATAACATGCGGGCGGTTTAATGATAATTCTATCGATTTTAGCTATAATGTTCAATAGTGAAAACACCATATATTGTATATACCATAGCAGCATCCTGTTTTATGTACCTGCTATTTATCAGTTGTATATATTTAGATAGGGTGGTGCCTCTGGATTACCATATGATGTAGTATTTCTCTTGTAATGTAGACAATATGCCACATGTTAGATTTTTTTCTACTTTGTCTATCATGATTTATGATAGTGAATATATCCTCACATGGTTTAGACATACTTGTAGTGTGGATTCAGGTTTTTGGTATATGTTACCTTGTGTTACTATTGGTGAAGTAGTATTGATGACCAAATATATGTCTATTTTTACTTGATATGAATGATGTAATATTGTGTGTTTGTGTGAGGCATTTTATGCATTAAATGTGGCATTGCATTGATATGAATAATGCCATGTAAATAGCATTGTATAGTGTTGTAGTGGTGTATATAGCATTGTGTAGTGTTATAGTGGCATATATAGCATTGTATAGTGTTGTAGTGGTGTATATAGCATTGTATAGTGTTGTAATGGTGTATATAGCATTGTATAGTGCTGTAGTGGTGTATATAGCATTGTATAGTGTTGTAGTTGCTTATATAGCATTGTGTTGTGTTGTAGTGGTGTATATAGCATTGTATAGTGTTGTAGTGGCGTATATATCATTGTATAGTGTTGTAGTGGCATATATATCATTGTATAGTGTTGTAGTGGCGTATATAGCATTGGATAGTGTTATAGTGGTGTATATAGCATTGTGTAGTGTTGTAGTGGTGTATATAGCATTGTGTAGTGTTGTAGTGGTGTATATACAATGTATAGTGTTATAGTGGTGTATGTAGCATTGTATAGTGTTGTTGTGGCATATATAGCATTGTATAGTGTTGTAGTGGCGTATATAGCATTGTATAGTGTTGTAGTGGCATATATATCATCCTATAGATTTGTAGTGGCGTATATAGCATTTCTTAGTGTTGTTGTGGTGTATAGGCATTGTATGGTGTTGTAGTGGCATATATAGTATTGTATAGTGTTGTAGTGGCATATACAGCATTTCTTAGTGTTGTAGTGGTGTATATAGCATTGTATTGTGTTATAGTGGTGGATATAGCATTGTATAGAGTTATAGTGGTGTATAAAGCATTGTTTAGAAATAGCATTGTATAGTGTTATATTGGCGTGTGTAGCATTGTATGGAATTGTAGTGGCATATATAGCATTGTATAGTGTTGTAGTGGCGTCATTTTCATTGTATAGAGTTGTAGTGGTGTATGTAGCATTGTATAGTATTGTAGTGGCGTATATAGCATTGTATATTGATGTAGTGGTGTATGTAGCATTGTATAGTGTTGTTATGGTGCATTTAGGATTGTACAGTGTCAAAGTTGAAATGTTATATTTATATATATATTAATATGATGATAATATTTGTTTTGTTGGTTTGAGTGAATGTTTTTTAATGCCAGTCAAAACCACCAGACAAACCAGTGAACAATCCTTCGGTTAATTCAGAGTCAACTTAGTGTGGAAGGGCAACTTAAAGTGATTTAGGTTTATCAATTTAACCTTCTGTTTATAACCAAAGATCCTTATTGGGGCATTTATTTTGCCTGGACTGATAATGACTGTGGCGCTCAACAACATTCCCTCATTTGCAATTGTCAGTTCTTAGCAGGATTATATATGTCTGCCGTTTTATTGGAAAGATGTGAATGTATTTCACTTAATTTGAGTGAGTGAGTGAGTTACGTTCAACGCTGCTTTGAACAGTTATATCAAGACGTGTCAGCAAAATGTGGGAGGAAAGTGATGCAGGGCTCAGACTTTAACCACTTTGGTGAAACCCACGAGCACATGTATGGTGCTGACAAAACTAGAAACATAATTGGGGGAACTCAGGATCATATGTGACGCAATTCTGCACAGCCTTAGACGACGGGCTACCTGTGCCTTCCACTTAATTTAAATATTAAGATTTTGAAAAGTATTATTTTGTGGTCAGGCGCGGTGCCTTTTTTTGATGGCACCCCCCCACATCCCAACCCCCTGCACACACTCCTTATTGGCTTGTGTGTCACAGACTTGATTATTTGTCATTTTCAAGTATTTTCTGTAAAATAAATTGTTGATCTTAATGCCTTTTGAGTCATTTCATTATTTGCATTAATAATGTATTTCTTGAATATTTAACGGATACAAGAATATTTCAAGCCGAATGTGTTTGGAACATAGTGTCAGACGTTGCTTGATGGTTGTTGGACAATATGTGAAACCCATTGTCGTATTATTAGCGCAAATATGTGATTGGAATATTGACACAAGGCACCTGTAGTTTCACCCATGCACTCTCTCTGATCTGTATACATGTAACAGGTCTTTCCTCAGTATGCACAGTAAACACATGTTTCTTCATGCAGTACAGGCAGGGATTTTGCTAGAGGCCGATTACATGAGATATTTTAATAATTTGACCAACTTTTGATAGGACGTTCTTCTATACCCTTACCAAATGTGAAGACTAGTGGGGAAGTCGGGGAAGACTAAAGTTCACCAGCAGCCTATGCTTGTCCTCAGGAGTGACTAAATGGCTCGAGTGGTCAGACTAGGTGACTTGGTTGATTGCATGTCATCGTAACCCAACTGTGTGGATCATTGTCATGTCAAGCACTGGATTGTCTGGTCCAGACTTTAATCATTTACAGATGCCGTGAAAAAGCTGAAATATTGCTGAGTGAAGTGTTGAACGCTTGTCACCATGCAAGGAGACCCGGAGAAGATGACCTCAGTATAAATCTAACACTTGTCTGATTGTGTACAAATAGAGTTGCTCATGTGTTCCGTCCATATGTTGCCAGGATCGTTGCTCATGTGTTCAGTCCATGATTTGCCAGGATCGTTGCTCATGTGTTCAGTCCATGGTTTGCCAGGATCGTTGCTCATGTAATCAGTCCATGGTTTGCCAGGATCGTTGCTCATTTGTTCAGTCCATGGTTTGCCAGTATCGTTGCTCATGTGTTCAGTCCATGGTTTGTCAGGATCGTTGCTCATGTGTTCAGTCCATGGTTTGCCAGGATCGTTGCTCATGTATTCAGTCCATAGGCTGCCAGGATCGTTGCTCATGTATTCATTCCATGGTTTGCCAGGATTGTTGCTCATGTATTCAGTCAATGGTTTGCTAGGTTCGTTGCTCATGTGTTCAGTCCATACCTTGCAAGGATCGTTGCTCATGTAATCAGTCCATGGTTTGCCAGGATCGTTGCTCATGTGTTCAGTCCATGATTTGCCAGGATCGTTGCTCATGTGTTCAGTCCATGGTTTGCCAGGATCGTTGCTCATGTAATCAGTCCATGGTTTGCCAGGATCGTTGCTCATGTGTTCAGTCCATGGTTTGCCAGTATCGTTGCTCATGTGTTCAGTCCATGGTTTGTCAGGATCGTTGCTCATGTGTTCAGTCCATGGTTTGCCAGGATCGTTGCTCATGTATTCAGTCCATAGGCTGCCAGGATCGTTGCTCATGTATTCATTCCATGGTTTGCCAGGATTGTTGCTCATGTATTCAGTCAATGGTTTGCTAGGTTCGTTGCTCATGTGTTCAGTCCATACCTTGCAAGGATCGTTGCTCATGTAATCAGTCCATGGTTTGCCAGGATCGTTGCTCATGTGTTCAGTCCATGGTTTGCCAGGATCGTTGCTCACGTGTTCTGTCCATAGTTTGCCAGGATCGTTGCTCATTTGTTCAGTCCATGGTTTGCCAGGATCGTTGCTCATGTGTTCAGTCCATGGTTTGCCAGGATTGTTTCTCATGTGTTCAGTCCATGTTTGCCAGGAACGTTGCTCGTGTGTTCCGTCCATATGTTGCCAGGATTGTTTCTCATGTGTTCAGTCCATGGTTTGCCGGGATCTTTGCTCATGTGTTCCGTCCATGGTTTGCCAGGATCGTTGCTCATGTAATCAGTCCATGGTTTGCCAGGAGTGTTGCTCATGTATTCAGTCCATGGTTTGCCAGGACCGTTGCTCATGTGTTGAGTCCATTGTTTGCCAGGAGTGTTGCTCATGTATTCAGTTCATGGTTTGCCAGGATCGTTGCTCATGTGTTCAGTCCATGGTTTGCCAGGATCGTTGCTCATGTGTTCAGTCCATGGTTTGCCAGGATCGTTGCTCACGTGTTCAGTCTATGGTTTGCCTGGTTCTTACTCCATACTCGATTACTTACAGACCACCTGTACCCTTACAGTGTACACTCTCAGACCCAGAAATCCCACATGTACTTTATTGGGGACATGTCAGGAAACTCAGCGGACCTGTCCAATGTCCGTATGCCTTCTCGTCGGAGATAATCGGAGACGACCTGGGAACCATGTCTGGCATTGTCTCTTTTCAGTTCATAATCTCTGTCGAAAATCCTTGCGAATGGAACAAAGCAAGACGCAAATTTCGTCAACATATCGTACGTTCAGTCAGTGTACATTCAGAATAACCAAATCATTTCGCCTGTCATGACACTTCCGCCCACATACCAATGATAGTCAAGAATTGTTGCCTTGACAAACC